ATGAATGCAAGTGTTTTCATTCACCGGGGAAATATCTCAGTGGAGATGGATGGAAATAGAGCCACATTTGGGAAGAGTCAATTTCCGCTTCTCCTGATGAGGCTGCTGAGGGAGGGGTCGGCAGGAGGGTGGGGAGCAGGGAGAAGCTTGTGCGCGTGCACACACAGAGCATCACTCCCATGTTCCAGCTGCCTAGGGCTTCCTGCAATGCCCTTTCCACTAAGGTGCAAATAACACAACCCCAAGCAGGAATCCCTGAGCCTGAGCCGAGGGATGTCCACCCCCATCCTCAAAGCTCCATCGGAGCACTCCGGTGGGGGGACAGGGCCCCCCAGCACCACTTACTCTGAGGCTCAGATCTGGTCCTTAATCCTCCAGACCCTCTCCTTCCTGTCTGGCCTCCTGCCGCCACAGGCCTTTCTCGGCCCCTGGTGCCCAAGCCTGGGAACCCGGCCAGCTGCTTCCTTTTCCTGCAGGACACAAAAAGACCATTACCTGCCACCGACATTCCAGAAGGTCAGGGCCCTGTGCCGGGGATCACAGCACAAGAAAGAGACAGACACCCTTGCCCTGGCATTCTGGAAATCTCCCTGGCCAGCCTGTCCCCGCTTTGGCCCCCGACCTGCTACTCTAGTGTTTAGCCCCCCACCCCACATTCCTTCGGATCCTTCTTCCATCCCCCAAATGCCATAATCTCATCAAATCCTTCCCTCTCTGGCTGTCAGGAACCCACCCTGATGTCCTGTGGCTAAGTTCTAGGTACCAAGCCCTACCTTTGCACATTCCAAAGGCCCAGGATTAGCTTTCTTTTCCCCAAGAAAACCAACGGCCCCAGACCCTGGCGAGTCCATTTCAAGCAGCATGAAGAAACTCTGAAATGCAGTGAAGCCCGGGCCAAAATCCCTACTGCACCAACTGCTACTTGGGGGGTTTGGATGAGTTTCTTAGCCACTCGGTGCCTCAGTTTCCCCACTTATAAAAAGGGGAAATAGTAGTCTTTACTCCATAGTTTCTGAGGGGATTAAATGATCTAAAACCTCTAAGGAGTTTAGAACAGTGCCTTACACATACTAAATGCTCAATTAATATCAATACACAGTCTGCCCTACCACTCCCCACAAACAATTTGCTCTGAGTGGATCAGGGCTGCGGACCTTCCTCTGGTGCTGGATGCTGCAGGAGAAGGGGATGCAAGAGATGAAGGTCCGCCCCTGCTGCCTCGGGAGTCCCAGAGGTGCGGGGAGAAGGGGGCTGTGCTTCCACACAAGAACCCACCAAGCAGCTTCTTCTGAGGCCATGAGCACTGAGGCAAGGCTGGGATGGGCTGCAATGGTGCCCAGCGGGGCATGAGGGGTAGAGGGGGGGATGGGTGGGTAGGCACCAGGGGCTGGGGACATGCTCTTAGAGGTTGAATCTCTGGAAATTTTCAGTGATGCACTGAATAAAAACAGCTCACTCCCTTGTGCTCTCCTTTGTTTGTCCAACACATATTTAATGGAGCATCTCCCATGTGCCAGGCTCTGGGCTAACACTGGGAGACTACGGCAGACAAGCCAGAAACAGTTCTTTATCTCCAGGAAACTTAGAGTACAGGGTGTAGGAGGAGATAGATGCCAAACAATTAGGTGCAGATTTACTGATTTAATGAGAGGACTCATGTCCCAGTGGGGGCAGGAGACGAAAGTTGGAAGTAGTTTTCCAGTGGAGAAACAGAGGATCGGAGCTGTCTGGATATGTTGTAGGGGGGAGACAGGGAGAAAGGACACGAGGCCGGGGAGTCAGCACACGGGAAGTCCTGGAAGGGGGACAGAGCCTGGCTCACGGCAGGGACTGTGGGGAGGCCTAGCGGCTGGAGGGTGGTGACCCATGGGGATGAGGCCCAGGGACAGTCAGAAAGGGGTCATGGCCACCCAGGGCCCAACCTCCCTGACAATGACATGATCAGTAAATGTGCCACAAAACCCAGGCCTCGGAGTTCACCCCCACCCCCACCCCCACAAAAGTCTGCAAATTCTGGCGACTGGACGTGGTCCCCTGGGACCTGCAGCGCAGTAACGTGTAAGCAACATTCTTCAGAAACTGAAAACACCTGCATGATGAAGAGCAAAGGGACAAGCCCAAGGTTCTCATAGGATATTACTTGCCCTACAGGGGCTGGACTGTCCCTCAGCGATTTCAGTGTCGCGTGTGGGTTAGTAGGGTGGGGTCCCACACCACTCTGCCTGCTGCCGGATGATTTCTGACCCCACGTGGCAGTGGAATCTAGCAGACACAGCCTCACACCGCCCAACGCCGGGAACAGACTTCCAGGGGAGCGCGGCCAACTCTGTGCGAGTTCATTGACAAATCGCGCTGATTTTTAAATGCCAGTTTTCCCAATGCCAGGCGAACACAAGCGCTGGATGGTGGTAATTGATTCCAAGAACAGAGAGTTATGCTAAGTTTGAGGAATGGGACATAGCATGCATGTCAGCTCAGAGTCCTGTAGTTGCAGAAAACTGACAGCTGCAGAGAATGTCCCAAAGCAACAACTCCACCTCCTCGCACATCCCCTTCATAAAAGAAAGCCAAGTTTAACCAAAAGCGTTTCATAAAAAAAACAGGCTTTTCCAAAAAGACCAGTTTGCATTTTTCACACTGATAGGATTTCACCCTGATATCGGGTTCAAGTCTGTCCACTGGCTTCAGTCAAGACTGGGGAGACCCTCATTCACCGTCTCCTGCAGAGCCCAAGGGGCCGCAGCACGAGGCATTCACTCCGTGGACTTAATTCCATCCCCTCGGCCCAGGCCCTTGCTCCTCTCCCAATTCCCCGTCCCTCGTCTGCTCCAGGCTTGGGATTCGGGCCCAGCCAGCCCCAGCCTGGGACCCCGTGGCTAAGGGAGCCGAGACAGCATCAACCATGGGTCGGCCAAGCGAGTCCTGCTCCCTGCTCTGCCTCCCCCTCACTCAGTGATCTGGGCCTCAGTTTCCCCAGCTGTACCATGAAGGGTTGGATTGAATGTTCACCTGGTGCCTCCCTCTCTGGTGCTCCAAGACTCTCTGATTCTGGGCAGGAAGGTCTTACTGAGATATTCGTGGGAAATGGCACCAGTCCTATCCTGACGGTCTCTCCCGGGAGATGAGAAAGGAGATCAGGCCTCGTCCTGTTTCCGATCCACGAACACCCCGACCAGGAACCAGAAGACCCACCGCGTGCCCGTCATGGCTGCCCTGGCCGCAGGGAGCTTTCGTTCTTGTGTGAGCGGAGCAAGATGAAGCCCTGAGCAAGAACAATGTGCCCCTTCCCAGACATGGGGGTTTTAGGAGGAACTGAGCCAGTGACAAGGAGTGGAGCCCTCGCAGGTGACAGAGCCCTGGGGGAGACAGGCCACTGGGGAGGGGGTCGGGGGAAGAAATCCGATGGCAGGGAGGGGACAGGGAATGGGGCAGGGAGTGTCACCATCAGCAGCAGCAGCAGAATCACAATAACAGCCAAGAATGAGAAGCCTACGATGCACCGGTCTCCCCGGCAAAGCCACAAGCCCAGGGCCCGGCACACAGTAGGCGCCGAGCGGCTGCACTGATTAATCCAGGGGCTGCCAGTGAGGTCTATTTTCGCTCTTGCTGAAACAGCACCTCCACCTGTTTCTGCAGTTCACAGCACAGCTCTTGGCAAACTTCTAACGGTGACATGAAAGGAAAAGGTGGACAGGGCTGCCCACATCCCCGAGACAGTGGTGTCATTCAGGAAGCCCCCACTGCTGTAAGTGTGGGGCTGTCCCTTCATGTCATTGAGACCATTTGGCGTCTTCACACCCTGAACATAGCTATAAAGCAGACATCTCTGAAAGGCCTAGAATAAATCCCGCCTGTGCGTCCCTGCCCTTCTCGGGCACCTCTCGGGCCCCAGCAGCGACAACTGCTCTGTTTCCATCAAGGACCAGCTGTTTTAATGGAGGTTTTAAATAACCCCTCTGCTGCCAAGAAATTTATGTCCTGCAGAGACGTGTGTGGCTGTGAACAGACGCTGGAGAGAGGTTCAAGGCCCAGCGGCTGTTGGACAACAACCAGGAAGCGCCCCCCTGTCCTGTCCTCTGGGATGTCGGTTTCCAGTGACTCAGCAGATGTCCCCACCTAGCGCCAGGCCACGTGCAGGGCTCTGGGCCCAGAGAGAAAGATCAGTCATGTTCCCGTGCTCGAGGAGGCCACAGTCAGATGGGGAAGGCAGACCTGCCAGCAACACACGCCATCCGGCTGCCGGCGGCAAAGCCGCAGACTGAAGGCTGCCGCTCCATGAGCACCTCCTGTATGCGACAGTGCCTCGGATGTGCTGGGTCCGAGGCCAGGTGATCCACAGGTTGTCCAGCCCTCCCAGCAACGCCCCCTGCTGCAAGGCCATTAATCGTTCCCATTTTAGAGATGAGGACACTGAGGCTCAGAGCAGCTGAGCAACTCAGGTCACACAGCCAGGGAGGGAGCTCGGGTCAGTGTGTGCTCTGGGCACGGCCAGCTTCAGAGCGGCTCTGCCCACCCACGGCCCCCTCAGACGGAGGCCAGGTCTGCTGGGAGGACCAGAGGCAGGGGTGGTCACCGGATCCAGGCGGGCAGAGTCTGGAGGGGGTGCTAGATCGCAGGTGCACCGTGTCCTGATCGTGGAGGTTCCTCAAGGTCGCCCCACATTAGCGCAGTTGAGTTGGGCTGTCTCAGGCCAGTGGCCAAGCAAGAGGCAGGATTTAGTTTCACCTTACACATTAAGATTGTTTGCACCTGCTCAGAATCCAACCCCGCCCCCACGAGCTCCTCCTCCTTCTTTAGAAACCACGCCCCTCACCTGCCAGTACGCAGTCTCTGGCCCGCATGGAGACCGCCCAGGCGCTAGGGGCGAACATGTGATTTGGGCATGGCCAATCAGTGACTTCCATTCCCCTGGACTTCGGGATTGGCTCAGAGATGGGCACGTGACCCAAGTTAATCCAATCAGAGCTTGGCCTTGGACTTCTGCTAAAAATAGCGTAAAAGAGGCCTTTCCTTTAAGGGTGTAGGAGTGCAGTTGCTGGTGGCAGTTTTGAGAGGAGCCTGTCTAAAAATGAAACCAGCGCAGGTAAACAAATCTCTGAAAGATGGCGTGAAAGAGAAAAAGAAGGATGGTGGGGGCAGAGAGAATGTGAGCCCCCAGCAGGTAGATGTCCTCACCCTTTTGGCTCCTACTATATATACTTGCAGAACCAGCACGCTTTCTGCGTAGAAGGGCCACAACTGCTTCAGCCCCTGGATCAAGGCAGACCTGAGGCCGGCAGCCCCCCAGGCATCCCTGTTTCATGAGCCAGTGCATTTCAAGTCCTGTCTCAACCAGTTTGTGATGTGTTTCTATTATCCACAACCCTGTGAGTCCCAGCCCTACTCCACGGCCACCACCAGGAAACACAGTGTCTGGTGCATAATAGATGCTAACTAAATATTTGTGTATGGAGAAAATGGGGTCCCAGAGACATCAAGTGATATGCCTAGGTCACACAGCTCAAGATGGCATATCAGGTCCAAACCCCAGGCATCCACCACTAAGGCCCAGGCTCCTTCCCCCACCCCACCCTGCCCCACAGAGCACAGGAGAGGAGTTAGGAAAGGAAGAGGCCGGCATGGGCTGGAGGCATCAGGGAGGACTTCCTGGAGGAGGGGGAGCCAGGCTGAGCCCTGAAGGAGACTAGAGGAGAAGAGCATGCAGGGGGATGGGGCAGCTCCTCGTGTGCTGCCCCCAGTTCTTTAGGCCTCTGGGTCTGGAATTCTCCATGAGGAGGTTCAGGGTCTTCCTAGGGCAGGGGCCCTGGGACCCTCTCCCCAGAGCAGGGGGAGCTGTGTCCTGCCCCGGGGTGGAGGCGGCTCCCAGGCAGGGGGAGGTAAGCAGGGCGAGCAGGAGCTTCTGGGCACTTCTGTTCCCTTGGCTTCTGTCCCAGGCGCTCCTGAATGGCCGCGAGGAGAGCAGTGTCCTTGCCCGTCTGCTGTGAGGGGACCGCGGTCTCACAGGCGTCGCGATGCGGCCATCAGCCCACATCCCATCAGCCAGTGAGCCCCACACACGGGGCAGACCCCGTGCCCTGAAGTGTCTCCTCGCCGGAGATTCCCTGCAAATCCCCCGAGTGAGCAGCGCCCCGGAAGGTAAGAACCCCCGTTACGTCCACAGTCGGCTGCCCTCCCTGCTCGGCCGTGGACGCCCCTTTCCCGGTACTGAGCCTGCAGAAGGGCGACGCCGCCCGCGGGCAGGAAACCACGCATCAGCTCTGCTGCTGCGAAATATTCTTGGTACTATTTTTGGAGCTAGATGCCTGCGTTGGCGGGAGGCGGATCCATTCTGTGCACAGGTGAGCTTTCCAGACGTCAGCTCGGAAGCTGAGTCAGTGATTCTGTGAAATCTCAAGTCCGCTTTTCTTCTTGTCAGCCTGCTCTCCCTCCATGTAGCATTTAATGATGCCAATTAAATGCAGACCCTGAGGTTGGCACCAGGCATTTGGGGCTGACAGAGCATCTCCTTAAATATTGTGTCCCAGACACCTGTCTTGCCTGCCCCCACTACCAGCCCTGTGCCCAAGATGTTCCCACCCGGGAGACCCTCTGAGATCTTCCAGACCACAGCAGGCATTAATTTATTTAACATATTTGTTGAGCACCTACTACGTGACAGCTATTGTGTGAAAAGAATCAAAGTAAGCAAAACTGTCATGGTCTTGGCTCGGTGGAACTCACAGTGTGAAGGGGGAGACAGACACTAACTAGAATAACACAAAGGAGTGTAAAGTCACAAGGGCTGTGAAGCATATAATGGAAGATTTCAAGTTTTTCCCAGAGGAGGTGACCATCTAGCTGTGATCTGGAGAATAAAGAGTTAGCAGATGAGCTTGGGGCTGAGGAAGAGTGTTCAGACCAGGCAACAGCACATGCAAAGGCCCAGTGGCAGGAGGGCTCTTGGCGATCACAAAGAACTCCAAGACCGTGTGGCTGGAGGGCAAAAAGTGAGTGGGGGCCTGGAGAGGGGACAGGGGCAAGACTGGGGGAGGGTCTCGAATGCCACTTTCAGGATTTGGGTCTTGATCCCAACAGCAGGGACCAGTGGAGTATTTTAAATAGAGGGCAAAGGCAGGAAATAGGGTGGTCAGATCTATGTTTCCAGTTTAACCCTCTGGCTGAAGCAAGGTGAGCTGTGATGGGGGAGGTATTGGAACAGTATGACTGGAGCTGGGAGCTTTCACCTCAGCTTGGAGGTTGAGCGATGGCTTCCAAAAGAGGAAGGGGGATGTGGGAAAAATGAACATCCCCGTCTGCATGGCATTTGTTCAGTCATTTGTCATACATTTACCGAGCACCATCTCTCTGCCTGGCCCTGTATTCGTTGAGGGGGTAGGAGGATGAATGAGAAGAAAGTCACGGTCCTCAAGGATCTTACAAGGGAAGGGACACATATTTTCCTAATGTTTCAGGAAGGGCCAGTACCTGTGAGATAGTCAGTTTCCATCTTATCAGGTGAGAAAGAGAAGACCGGCCAGGACCATTTGGATACTGGCAAGAGAAACCCTACGACCCCAAGGTCATTAAGGAGTGTGGTGAAGGACATAGGGTAGAGCCGTGTCATATATGATCCAGAGACATCAGACCTGGGTGTCCCTTGCCTTCCCTGTGCAGTCCCTAAATGGTTCTCTCCCTGGGGGGCGTGGGGGCTCCCGAATCCCTGCACCTTGCATCCTCTGTCAGTACTTGCTGGGAGGACAGCCCCCTGCCTGCTCTGCAAAGGAGTAAGTAGAAATTCAGAGAGGTGAAGACACTTTGCCAAGGTCACACAGCCTCGAGTAGCAGCACCACGGTGTCTATGCTGCTGGTGATGCACAAGCTTTGAGGATATTGTCCATCCAGACCTTGACTTGGGTGATAGGGAAGAGCTCCCCCTTAGGACCAGGCAGGCCTGGAGCAATAATGCTAGCTAATGCCCACTTAGGGCTTCCTGGGTGCCAGGCACAGGCCCCAAGCCTTTTATATCTACTAGCTTATGTCCTCTTCACGATAACTGAACGGAGTGAATGCTAGCCGTGCGTGCCCACAGTGATGGTGTGGAACAACCACAAATGCTAGGAGTTTAAGTCAATGTGTATTCATTTAGTTCACGCGTCCTCTGGTTGGCTGGATAGTCCCACTGGCCTGGCCAAGCTCTTTCAGGCTTGTGCAGTGAGCTGGCAGCTCAGCTGTGGGTTGGCTTTGCTGATGCTGGCTGGCTTTTGTGCCTGTTTGGAGGCCTGATGTGGTCTTTGATTCTCCAGCAGGCTGGTCTGGACTCCTTCAAATGGAGGTTTCCGATTTCCAGGGACATGAACAGAAGTACAACAAAGCTGCTTGAGGCACAGGATTCAAGTCAGCACGCTATCCCATGCAACACATTCATTGGCCAAAGCAAGTCACAGGGCAGCACGTATCTAAGGGGTAGGAAAGAAGTCCCATTTCTCGAGTCACATTACAAAGAGTGTGGAAGGGTGGACAGGTGGGGCATTTCTGCCATCGGTCCACCAGCAGGTGGCCGTCACTATAGTCAGCCCTAATCTCCAGATGAGAGCATCAGGACTCAGATACCCAGATAAGAGCAAAATATTACGAAGGAAAGAAGCAGGGTGATAAGACAGCAGACACCAGCTTTGGAGGCTGGCGGGACCTGGGGAGGGAGGTCGGGGAGCACAGAAAGAGGGAGCAGCAGGGCCCGAGAAGCTTCCTACAGAGAGAACTGGCAAGTGCAGCCCCCCTCCCCCACCATGCTGGCCCCACCAGGCTGACACAGTGACTCCCTCCAGGTCACAGAGCTACAGAGCAGAGGTGAGGTTTGAGCCCGGGTCTGGGCCCTTCTCGATGACACTGCTGCCTCTCGAAAGCTGTGAGCAAAGCCACGGGCAGGGAAACTCAGGGCCCTGATGACATGGGGCTTCCAGGATCCTGAGCAGGAGACTGTTGGGGTGAAGGAAGCCCCGCAGCCTCAGGGAGGCCTCTGGCAGCAGGAGGAGAAAGGCCTTTCTCCCCCAGAGAGGCAGAAGGATTACCTGGGCAGAGGGCTACCTGGCTAGGTGTCAAAGCTCACCCGGCTCTGACCCAGCTCTGCTGGCAGCAGGAGGGCCCTCATGACATGCCATCCCCTGGCATTGCTTTGTCCTACTCCTGCCCATTCATCCTAACACTCAGCTCTAGTGTCTCCTCCTCCGGGAAGCCCTCCGTGATACACCCTTTGTGCTTTTGCTGCACCCTGGGAGTCTCTGGCTTGTCACTGTTGATTTATGTGCCACTTCTCACCCCTACAGTCCTGGGAGAGCATAAGTCTCTGGAGGGCAGGCAGAGGCCCCCCAACCACCTCCTTCTGTTGCCTTCCCTGACAGGCTGGAGGCTCCCGGGCAGGGCTGGGCTTCTCCTGCGTCTCACTCTCTGTTGTTTTCTTGGGGCCCAGAACACTGCAGGGCACAGCAGGGTCAAAAACACTGGCTGGCAGAAAGAAGGGAGGGAGGAGCAGGAAGGGAAGGGCATGCGGGAGAAATAAAGGGGCTTTCTGCACGGCACGAGGAGGAGAGGAGAAGCTTGCAGATTCATAGGTTACTAGAGGTGAGGGAAGCAGAAAGACTCAAACACTGAAAGTGGTCCCGCTGTGACCTGTGATATTTGGCTCAATCAGGAACAAGTTACTCTGTGCGCCCCAGGTAGATCTGAGAGTTCTTCGGAGTTTGCTCTCAAAAGAGCTTTCTGGGGTGAAATGTTTCTCAGGAGGCCTATTTCATGCCAAGCCACAAACACCCAGCTTCACAGGTCAGAGAGAACCCCAGCCCCTTGGTCCGGAAGAGAGGTCCTGCCCCCAGCCTGCATTTGGGTATCCGCTCCACCAGGCTGTATGACCTTGGACGGCTCACTGGGACTCGCTGACCTCCGGCCCTGCCAGCCCGGAAGTGCTGGATGGCGAGTACCCTCCCCTTCTTCCTGCTCCTGTAACACCTGCCGTTGTGGGCCCAGGTCTGAGGTCAGGCCTGCCTCTTCCAAGAAGCCACTGAGGCGGTCCTTCTCTGGACTCGAACAGCTCCAGGGGCTTGGCCTGGAGGCTGAGTGCTGGGCTGTGAGGCCAGACCAGCTAGTCCAAATCCAAGCCTGTCTCTGTTCTAGAAACTTGCTGCCCTCAGGGCTGACCAGTGGCGGCAGCATCGGCGGGCAGTTGTGGAAGAGCGGGCCCTGCCCCAGGTTCGTGACGAATCTGACTGTGCACTTGAGCAAGCACCCAAGGTGGCCTGTGGGCACCTGGGGTGTGAGAAGCCCCAGCTCTGTAGGTGGCCGAGACACAGGTGTGGGAGCCCAGCAGGAGCGACACGTGACCTTGCCAGGGCGTCTTGGACTCTGAGACACATCTCCACACGGGAAAAACAAAAAACAGCAAACATACTTCCTGCCCCAGTGACCCGGCCCCTTCGCCCCTTCACTGCAGCTCCCCTGAAAAATGGGGGGGACAGTGACAGCCCCCCAGGGTGGTGGTGATGATGGAAGGGAGTCATTTGCATAATAGTGGCCAGCATGGTGGGGGAGGGGAGCTGCACTTGCCAGTTCTCTCTGTAGGAAGCTTCTCGGGCCCTGCTGCTCCCTCTTTCCGCGCTCCCCGACCTCCCTCCCCAGGTCCCGCCAGCCTCCAAAGCTGGTGTCTGCTGTCTTATCGCCCTGCTTCTTTCCTTCATAATATTTTGTTCTTATCGCTTACTCATTTTGCTTGGCTGTCTCCCCAGTGGCACCCAGGAGCTCCTCGAGGGCAGGGGCCTGGGGGCCTCGTTCGCGGCTGTGCCCCAGTGCTCAGCACCCCGAGGGGGCACCCAGAGGTGCCTGACCAGTGCCTGGATGAAGGGCCGGATGAGGAGTAGGCCTGGGTTGTATCGGTCAGGATAGGCAAGGTACTGTGACAAATAGGCCCACGTCCCAGTGGCTTCACCCAGGAAGAGATGGTTTCTCTCCATGTGAAGTCCAAGCGGATGTGGCGGGTCCGGGGAGCTCCTCCGGGGAGGCGCTTCCTCTGAGCGAGGATGCAGAGACCCAGGCTTCTTCATCTGTGATGACGTCATCTACACACGGGGCTTCCAGGGCTCCCAGGGAAGGGCAGTGAGTGAGAGGCAGGTCACCAAGTGATTCTCCAGCTCAGCCCAGAGGGGAACCACATCATCTCCAGCCATATTCCATTGACCACAGGTGCCAACTGGCCCCACCTGGATGCATGGGGTGGCAGGGGGAGGCTGGGCAGCCACCGCCCAGCACCAGCCTTGCCCTATGAAAGGGGGTGTGAACTGGTGGGCAGCAGCTGTCTCTGCCCCTCTGGTGACGATGGATGACTCCTGTCACTTTGATTCCCTGGGCTCCGAGCCCTCTCTCTGCCTCTGGCCGACGTGATGCTGGGTCAGAAGGGCAGGAAGAAAGGGGTAGTGACCCCGGAAGGGCTGCCCATGCTGCTCCCCACACTCGGCTGGGGAAGGAAGTCGTTCTGGGCTGTTCCGAGCTGACTATGTTGGAACCTTCTGTGTCTGCTGAGCTGCTAATTCTGGAGCCATCTGCCTCTGTTCCCAGCCCCAAAGCCCCAGGATAAATAAAGTTTCTTCTGTGGTTTTTAAAGAAAGTTTTGAGGGAGTGGGGAGAGAGAGGAGGGAGGTCTCGGAATGACTTGTTCTCTGAGAAGGAGGCCCTGCTTTGCCCAGGGCTGGCTAGGCAACCAGGTTGTCATGCATGTCTGCATTTTGCCAAGAGCTGGAGTGGCCAGAGTGGCTGGGAGGGATGTCATTCCTGTGAGTTCCTACCTCCCCGCACCAGACTGGGGGCTGCCTCGGGCTGAGTCCCCTGTTCCCAGTGCCCAGCGCAGGGCCTGGCACAGAACAGGTGTCCGTAAACACTCGCTGAATGAATGATGGAGTGAATGAGGGCAGGGAGGGGGCGGGGTTGGATGGGATGTGATGGGAGGCCGGCGCCCATGGTGTTAAGAGCTTTAATGAATTATCCTGGGGCAGGGACCCTTCTGGGATGGCAGGGCAGGCAGGACCTGTGACTTGTTTCGAACCACTAGAATACAGCAAAGGTGATGGGATGGTACTTCCGTGTTTTGGTTACAAAAGATCGTGACTTCTGTCTTGCTGGTCAACTCTTCCTATCGCTTTCTTGGCTTGCACACCTTGATACATAAACTGCCGTGTGGGAAACACCCCCGTGGCAAGGGACTGAAGGCTGCCTCCAGCCACCAGCCACCCACAGCCGGACCCGAGGCCCGCGGTCCACGAGCCCTCAAGGAACCGTCCTGCCAACCACCTCGCATGAGCTCGGGAGCAGGTCTTTCCCTGGTCGAGCCTTCAGACAACTTCCTGGCCTCAGTCGACAACCTGATTGCAACCTTATGTGAGCGCTGAAGCAGAAGGTCCAGCCAGGATATACATTTCATCCAAAACTCCACAAAGAACAGGAAAATCTAAAACTTAAACAATTGCTTGAATACAAGCCACACATTCCTCCCTATCGCCTACATTCTGCTTCACCCTAAGCTCCGTGGGTTTACCATGGGGAGATGTGCCAAGAACCTAATGCAAGTCACCATGGGCAGTGGCACTCCTGTCGTTGGCGTGGGGAGCGTCTCAGGCGAGTGCAGGTAAATCTTACCCAGCCCGGGGCTGGTGGGAGCAGTTTCGGGAGCGGATGCTGCTGCAGCTTCCCTTTCCCCAGCCCCACTGTTTTAATGAAACAGACTTCAGGATGCCCACAAAGACAGCTCCAAAGAAGGACTTCACATCAGGACCTGGGGCTGGCTGGAAAAGAGGGACTTGGTGGAAGGGCCTGGAAGGCCAGAAAATGATGAGACTTCAAGAGGACGGCTGCGTGGGTCCCCTGGGAGACCCCAGCTCGGGGGGGGGCCCTGGGGGAGGATAGTCACTCCCTGCAGGGGGGGTGGCAGAGTAGAAGCCCTGGCCTGGGCGTTGGAACCACGGAGCTGAGGCTGGCTCGCTGTGGGCTCCCCAGGGGCCACCCCAACCCCTCTGATCCCCCCTGTGCTCAATTGCAAGTGGCAGAGCGAGCCTTGAGGACCTGTCACTCCTGGAACCCAGGCCTGTGAGAACAGAGGCTCCCTGTCCCACCCAGTTTCAGTCTTCCCCTCTAAGCATCGGCGGTCACCCCGGCAGCCCCGAGCCCGGCAGGAGACGTGCCCCCTCACTCCCTGACTGGCTGGTAGCTGGTGCTTTCACAAGCTTCTGCGCTTCAGGGACAACCAGGTTGTCCTGGTTGTCACCGAAATGCACCTGCTCAGTGCGGCCTCCCGCGAGCTGGGCCCAGCTCCCCCGCATTCATCCTCCATGCTGCCTCTGCCTGCAAGAGGGGCCCATCGGGGTGCCCGGCCTTGTGCTGGCCACAGCAGCCGTGTGGACGGGGGGCTGAAGTGCGTGGGGTGGGGAGGGTGACCCGTGCTCCCCGGAGAGCTCCTCGTGGGGCCCCGGTGCATCAGTGCTGATCCCGATACTGACCTGGACAGTGACAGATGACAGATGACAGCCGACCTGTGTCCAGTACCTGCTGCACCTCGGGGACTGTGTTGTCCATTTTCCGGGCATTTCTCATTCCGTCTTCAAACTGGTGTCCCTGTCTGTGCCAGAAAGCTGAGGCCCGGGCTGGGAAGTGCCTTGCCCAAGACGCACAGCAAGGAAGCCATCAAGCCAGAATTTGAATCCCGCGAGCCTGCACCCTTAATACTCTTATCACATCCCTTCTGTGAGGCCCCACGACAGACCCAGCTTCAGGCAGGAGGCAGCCTGATGGGAGGTGCACAGAGCGAGGAAGAGGCACAGCTGAGGGACTGCTTTGGGGTGTCGCCAGCACAGGGATGCATCCCTGATCCACCCTCGTCTGAGCTGCCTTCCCTTCCTTCCCCTACCAGGCAGAACAGCTCTGCAAAATCCATCACCTCTTGTTCCAGCGGAGCCTGGGAGGTGTCACAGGACTGGGTGGGGTGGAGTCCCTGCACCCTGGGGACAGGAGCACTTGATCCTGCAGCCCGCATGCCAGGAAGTCGAGCAGGTGGGGAAGGGAGCCCCCCCCCCCCCCCGTCTCTCTGTGTGGAGAGACTTCACCTCATGAAGATAAGGGCGGTCTGACCCATCAGCAGCTTCATAGTGTAGGCAGGAGATGAAGTGCTTTCAACACTTGGTGTCTGAGACACCATCTATCTCGGGAAGCCCAAGTGTTTTGTTTTTTTTTCCTCTCCCCTTTTCTCTGTTGTAAGTGGCACAGGAGAGGTGAGGGGTTGGCACACAGTGAAAACACGTGTGTAGCGGATTCGATCAGGTTCCTGAATAGCACGCCAGGCTAAGTGGAGCCAAGTTGGGGGGGACAGGTGGCTGGGACATGGGCCAAGGGGCGGGCAGGGCAAGCAGACTCGGTGGGAACAAGTGGAGGACGGGAGGATGCGTGTGGGGGAGGGCAGCTCGGGGTGGGGGTGAGGGGCGCCCACCCTGCAGGCTGGTCAGGGTCTTCCAGCTTAGGGCAGGGGGTGACAAACATTTAGGGCAGAATGGCCCTTAAACCAGGTCATGAGAGACCCCTATGCTACAGAGGACCTGCCTCCCCTGGGGTCTCCTCCACTGCTCTCCACCCACCAACGGTGACTCTGCAGGACCAAGGGAAAGGGGACTGTGGGACTCCTCTAGACTTTGCTCTGAGACCCTGGGATTCTCTGCCCAGATGGCCTTGAGCCCACCTTGGGTACCTGCTTCCCCTCTTGCCCAGGTCTGGGATCCTGAGGTAGCCCCAAGGGTGAATGCCCCCAGAGTGTGCACCCCGGGCCCGGCCCAAGAGGCAGCCGAGGGTTGGCTTTTGCAATGGGGTGAGTCACTACGTCTACGGTTGAATAAACCCCCAGCCCCAGCAGCATTGTGACATCTCTGCTTCCGTCCCCACAGGCAGGGACCAAGCTAACCGGGTTCTCTCTCCTCCTCTGAGTCTAACACAGGCCTGGCTCCAAGTGGGGGCCCAGGGAGGGCTTGTTCGGGGGTCATCAGAGAGGAGCAGTGGCTGTCCCGAGGGCACCCAGCGATGGGATGGACAGAAACCCATGTGTCCAGGCCTCAGTCAGCTTGGGGCTCTCCAGTGATGCTGGCGTCCTGTCGGAGACCCTCCAGTGGCTCTCGGGAACCTCAGGGAGGCCCTCGGATGGGACCTAGCATATGACTGTTTCAAACAGTCCTAGTACTTAGTGTCCCTCTGGCTCCATCGGGTGCAGGGAACAGCTGCGGCAGGGGCTCTCCTAGAAGGGGGTCTGCTCCAGCCTGCTCCCTGGAACGGGGGGGCCCTGGGTCCAGCACCCGCTAGGCTCTGCGAGGTGGGCGCTCCGCTGTGTCTCGGGGCGCCCCTGTTTCCCATACCCCCCTACCCCGTCACCCCTGCTCTCCTGGGAGATGCAGCGGCCTCCACTGCCCATCAGGCCTTGAAGAGCCTCGGGGCTCTCCTCCAGGCACGCTCCCGGCACAGGGAGGCAGGAGGCGGCTCAGCTTCCGGTGGGCTCATTCATAGACTCAGAGCCTCGGCGTCTGCAAGTTCTGTTCTGCTTGAAAATGTGCAAGCCGCCTTTCACTGTTGCCGCCGGCGGCGCTTTGAGCTGAACCAGACCCCGCGGCCCGGGGTGAACAGTGCTGGAGCTTCTCTCTGGAGGGAGCAGAGCGGGCTGAGGAAGCAGGAAGGCTCTGGGGCAGCCCCGCTGCTCCACTGTGAGCCGCACTTTCTCTGAGTCACTTTCCCTCCTTTGCAGAATGGAGCTCCTCGTCCCTGCCTGCAGGATGGGAGAGGACTCCGTGTGCTGTGTCCCCTGTGTGCCCGCCAGACCCACCTCACCACCTCCCCTGCTCTGTGCCCAGAGACCCTGCAGGGGTGAGTCACTGTGCCTTCCCGCGATCCATCTCTGTTCCCCCATTGGGCCGTCCAGGCATGGGATGGAGAGCCACCAAGGCCCTTTCAGCCTGACGGTGAGGGATGCCCTTCTTTCTTTACTGAACAACAGCTTCTAGCCCGAGCCCTAGCCACTGCACCCCAGCCTCGTGAGGCTGTGGGACGTGTTCAGGAGCCCCCGAACCCCCCATCTCCTGGAGCTGTAGGCAGGAGAAAACCCAGCAGTGACCAAGGACCTGCTGTCTGCAGCCCGGGCTCCCAGGGACAGACATGCCCTGTGTCCTCTGAGGTCGTGTGTGGGCAGGAAGGAGGGAGGCAGACAGGAACCGCGAGGCCAGACACTGGACATGCAGGGCCCCCCGGGAGCAGGATGCTTACCTGGGAGGCCTGGGGACAGACAGCGCGGGGTGCACGGGAGCTCTGAGCGGGAGGCAATGCTGGGCCTCAGCCTGTCAGCACAGGCAAGAATTAGAATCCTAAAAAAGACCCCATTATTTCTCCCAGGGCCTGGGCGTCCTTTGGAAAAAGGGATGTTTCCTGCCAGATCGCCCCCTGAAGATGCATTTGTCACAGGCCGTTGTGTAAATCCACGTTTGGCCCATTTACGAGACGTGATTTCTCCACTTGACTGGCCTTCACGCTCCTCCAAACTCTCAAAATGTGGCTGCTATTAGGGGCCCAGAGAGGAGCCATAAAACACGGCGGGGGAGGCCCCTGCCACGGGCCTGTGGGCTCCGGGCCGCCTCCTGCTGCAGAGGAGAGCCGAGGAGGGGCTGAGGGGCCACGCCGCTCTGGACAGGGTCGGTCCCCGGGGAGAAACAGTGTGACGCCAGAGAAGGGCCAGCTCGGGTCGGCTCCTGCCACCAGGCTCACTGAGGCCCTACTGTGCGCGGGCCTGCGTGGGGCCTTGGGGTGCACGGTGAACAGAGAGGAGCCTGTGTCTGGAGCACGGAGGCGGGAAGGACAAGTGAGCAATGTGGGACGGGGTGCGCCAGGCGGGAGAGGCACTGGGGAGAAAGTACCACAGGGTGACGTGTGGAGCCCGGCTCTGGGCGGGGAGGGCAGTGTGCCTGGGGGTCGGGGGGGGGGTTGGGGGGAGGCAGCACGCCAGTGAAGGTCTTTGAGCCTTTTTTTTTTTTTTAAGATTTTATTTATTTATTTGACAGAGAGAGATAGTGACAGCAGGAACACAAGCAGGGGGAGTGGGAGAGGGAGAAGCAGGCTTCCCGTCAAGCAGGGAGCCTGATGCAGGGCTTGATCCCAGGACCCTGGGATCATGACCTGAGCCGAAGGCAGATGCTTAACGACTGAGCCACCCAGGCGCCCTGGTCTTTGAGCCTTTTCCACCTTCGAGCTGAGGCCTGAAGAAGGAGGAGTAGGACGTTGGAATATCAGACAGATGGCCAGCCAGGCACCAGGCAAGGGCATCTGTGGGGCATTGCCGTGGGAGCAGGGATGATGGAGCGGTTAGCTCCACCTGGTGGGAGCAGAGAGGACTTCAGCCAGGAGGTGAAACCTGCGTGACGCGGATGAGTGCTGACGGGGTCACAGGTGGGAAGAGCCACGAGAGACACAGGCAGAAAGGTTCCAGACCTGGGCGGGCACACAACATGGCGAAGCAGCTAGCATCATGGCTGGAGGGCTTCCATGTGAGGCTGGGGGTGTCCTGGGATGAATGTGTGGGGATGGGGCTCTCTCCTCAGACAAGGACACCACTGTGTAAGCAGCAAGCAAGTTACGGTCCTCGAGGCCGTGTGGCCCCGTAGCTCCCAGGCCCCAGGCCCCTTCCAGCTGCAGAATGTTGCAAGCCAGGAAGGCCCACCTGGGCGCTCATGGGATGCCAGTGGACAGACTGCTCTATTTGGCTGCATCTGTTTTTGGTTTCCTGTCCTCACCCCAACCATCCAGGGGACCTCCCGCTGCTCCTGCACCCTAGGGTGGCAGCCCTGGAAAGCCCACCCCAAATAACCAGCCCTGAACCAGGTCAGCTTTCCTCTCCTATTTTAGATCAACCAAGCCAGGCTTGATCCCTTTGGGAGCAGCAGATGCTCATGTCTCTCCTGGGCTCACTAGATTGGTGAGACCCTGAGACTCTCCCAGCAGGCGACCGAGGGAAAAGTTTTCAGAATTTCAGGCCCTTTGATGGAGAAAGTCTGCCTGATAAATAATTAGGAGAGCCTCCACTTCCTGAGAACTGCGAGGAGCAGTGAAGGCCTCCCAGTCCCCCCAGCAAAGCAGAGCTTCGGAGCGCTCCGGCGGAGGGGCAGGAAGCCTCTCCTTCAAGATGAGTCAGGAGAGGCAAGAGGACTGGCGTGGGAAAAGCCTGGCCATGCCAGGGGAGGGCCGGTGGGCACCTGCTTCAGGGAAGGATGCAATGGGCGCCATACCCGAGAGCTGCTCTCACTGCCTTATGATCAGGATCCCATTTCACCCCTGAAAGACCCCATGTGGTAGGAGTGCAACCCCCATTGGACAGAGGAGGAAACTGAGGCAGAGATAAGCCAAGCCCTTCTGGGAGGTGAGGGCCTGGTGTCTGGCCTGTCATTCTTTGCCTCTCTGCTCACCTGGTGGTCCTCACGCAACAGCAGGATCCTGGAGTGTCAGGACCTCCAGAACCTGAAATCTGTGCCACTGTGGGGTCAGGATCCTAAAGACACGAGCTTGAATCCTGGGTCATTTGCTGCTCTGGAAATATGCAGTGTTATAGTCTATCGTGGGGGTTGCAAGCTAGATGTATATGACATGTGGAGCATAGGGTCCTGCACAAAGTCAATACCCAGTGGATTCTGAGTATTACCTAAGGTTGTGCTAAATGCTCTTAACTAACCAACCCCAAAATGTAGAACGGCTCCAATGCAACAAAAGTTGTATGGAAACTGCAAAACAAGTGCTTTTGATGGGCGCCACACAATGGCAGGACGCTGGGTCCGAGATAGCTTCTCCTGGGAGACACCCACCGATCAGTACGCAGTTTCTGTCTTGCTAACCCGCTCTCCTAGTGTCTGCTTGGTTTGCATACTTCAAGGAAGCCAGCTGCTGGGCAGGAAAGGCCCGCATGGCAAGGAGCAGAGGGCAGGTGGTCCTCTGATGCATCAGGTAGGCAAAAAGGTAAGGAACTCATGGGAGGGCCTCAAAGGCCTGAAGTGGATGTGACATATGTCACTTCGGCTTACGTTCTGTTGTCTGGGATATAATCATGTGGTCCCGCCTACCTGCAGAGGGGGCTGGAGATGGAGTCTTGCTGCGTGCCCAGGGAGAAGAAGAACCATATTTGGTGAACAGGTGGATGGTCTCGGACACCCGGGAAAGGTGAACTAATGTGCCAGGAGACCCAGCGGGTTAATAGCAGAACCCAGGCTCCTGAGTGTGCAGCAGGGCCCCAGGCTCTTCCATCTACATGTCACACCAGAATGAGGCAGAGTCATAGGACTGGCCGGTGAACCAGGGACAAAGGTTCACCTGAGTCAGGGGAAGGGAGGCTCAGATGATCATTGTCTCTGTCTCCCTGCCAGAATCATGGGTGGGGGGTAGAGAGCCACAGCTCCAGGGCTCTTGGTTGTGAAGTTGGTTAAGATGCACAGTTGGCCTCAGGGTCCCCTTGGGATTAGTTTCTTTATTTGTCAAATAAGACTGTAGCAAGAGGATATACCACGTGGGGTCACTTGAGGGTGAAGTGAGATCTTTGATGCCCTCATAACTTGCCTTTCCCTCTTCTCTTCAGGTCCTGCTCCTCTGCTGGGAAGATCTCATGTGGTCAAGCTAAGGTACTTTGAATGATGTTGGTGCCAGGGGTACTTTCTTCCCAGGGGTGTTTGGACTCAACAGGAAGCCCATGACTAGGGAAGATGATCATACAGTTCACTGATCTCAAATCCCTGCCATCAGATGGATGAGGACAATGACACTCGAAGATGGGACACCTCATAAATATGTGTAACCCCAACCCCCAAATCCCACCTCTAGGAATTTGACCCTTGGAAACTTACAGATGTACATGGAGAGCTTTTTCATGTAGGATGTGCTTATGATAGCTAACACTGGATATAATCACATGATATAATCATGTGTCGCCACAGGAATTGGGTAACATTATGTATGGTTCATCAATTCAGTGGGAAAGTAGTGGCAATGATCCAACAACTGAGAATCATTGTGTAGAACATATGAAAGGCAAGGGAAAATTTTGTCACATGGAAGTAATATAATCAGAAAATTCTAGAACAGAGTGTGTAGTATGCCCTCCCTTTTGTAGGAAAAATACAAACATATAAACACATGTTTGACAGAAGTTATTTTTGGTGGTGGCATTATGAGTGGTTTTTCTCTCTTCCTTTTTATTTATCTATACTATCTATAATGAACATGTATAATTTTTCTGAGAGAAAGAAAATATTCTTAACATGAGGGTTAGCATTGTGTTGCCCACAGGACTGGATGATATCTAAGGACAAGGAGATCATGACCTTTTGTGGCTTTAAATATTGGACATTAACGGTGTCTAAACAAGAGCTGAAATCACTGGCAGAAGGTCAGGATTTCTTTTGCCTTTGAGATCCTTGAGAGTTAGCTGTTGATTGAAAAGGTCTTTGATTTTGGCAGTCCAGTTATGCCTTCCTGAGCTAATAAGGACATCCTCTTGATTGAGTGCATGTGAAGCTTCCCCATCACACTACATCAGTCAGCAATTGCTGTGTAACAAACAACCACAAATCTGAGTGACATACAATAAGAAGCCTGTGTCTCTCATACATTTGCAGGTTAGCTGGGAAGTTCTAAGCTGCAGGTTTGGGCTATAAGCAGCATCTTCCCATGACAAAGGCAGAGGCACCCCTGCCCACATTTCACAGGATGAAAGAAGTGACGGGCCAAGTCCAATGTCAAGAGGTCCGGAGGTTCACTTTGTCTTTTGTGAGAGAAAACCAGAGTCACGTGGCGAGGTGCCTGGGTACAGGGAGAGGTAACGAGTAGAACCCACCATCTGGCATCCACGAATGGTTGCTTTGGTCAGGTCATGCTGTGAGTTGGCTGAACACACTGTGGACATGTTTAAAATAACATTATTCCTCCACTGATTAATTCTTTTCAAAGTATAATACGAATGGAAGGAGATTAAAGTTACTGTAATTCCATTACCTACAGATGGCCTTTTAAGATTTTGCTGCATTTCCTTGAAGGATACACATCCGTCTGCACACTCAAATAAACATCAGCATATATTTATATAACAAAAGTAGCATCACATTTTATTTGTTTTTTACCCTGCCTTTTTTTTTTCAACCTAATCTCATCCTGTGAGCTTTTACTAGCATTATTAAATATTCTTTAGAAACGGGCTCTTCATAGATGTATAATTTACTCTAAAGATGTAATGCTACTTATATAAATAATCCCCTATGGGTAGATATTTAAACTTTTTCAGATTGTATCCCATTACAAACAACATTATAACGAGCATCACGGAATACGGTAATAATCAACATATACTGAGCTTTTTCATACACCTGTCTCTGTGCTAAGCACATTCCATGAGCAACCTCACGTGGGCCTCAGGTTTCCCTCTCCAGCAGGTACAATAACAATCCCCATTTACAGATGACGAGACCAGGGCACAGAGATGATAGGAACTTGCTCAGGGTCACACGGCAGCTGTATAATTGGTAGAGTGGAGACAAAAATTCAGATCTGATTGATGATATAAAGCCCATGCTCTTAACCACTCAGCTAACCTCCCCTTCTGTGTACCTCCCTGATGATTGCTTTGGGAGTAATTTCTAGAAGTAAGATCTCTGGGTTTGCACACTTTAAGGCTCTCAGGGCATATTGCCAACGCACCTTCCAGAAAGCTGTCAATTCAAACTACAACCAACAGTCTATTCACTCATAGTGTTAACTGTGTGCTGGGCACTGTTGTAGGAGCTGAAGACACAGTGACGACAAGAAAAGCACAGCCCCAGCCCTCCCAGGGCTGCTGGGGTCCTGACTCCCAGGGGAGAGGGAGGGGACAGGTACAGAAGAGAGAATGTTATACATTCAGATAAATAAACAAAGCTGAGGGGTAGAACAGTGACTGGGGTGGGCCTTGGGGTGGGTGGAAAAGGGTAGGATTATCCCAGAGGCCTTCTCAGAGGAGGGGGCCTTGAGCTGAGCTCTGAATGACCAGAAAGGAAAATTTGGGAAAGAATTTTCCAGGCAAGTAATACAACAAATGCAAATTCACCAAGTGGGACCAAGCTCAACAGTTTGAGGAAGGGGAGAAGATAGACTTGTCTGCATCGGGGTGAGGGCTGGGGGGAGTCAGTGGGCAGGGAGGGATCAGAGAGGTCTTGCAGACCATGGGGAGGAGATTATGTTTTATCTCAAGTATGGTGGGAAGCCCTGGAAGGCAGTGGCATCATGGGTCTGAAAATTATACCATTCAGGGCATCCTCTTTAAGAAAAGGGTATATAGAATTAGGAATCAAAATTCGCTATGCAATTTAATGTCTATTTAGAATGAGAAAAGAAATCACAATAAATTGCAGATTTCAAAAAGCCGACTATTACCGAAAATATCACAAAATGTAGGAAAATCCCCCTGTATTTTTTACTTAGCATCCTGACCCGCCCTCACAGCTTTCTTTCCCCCCGACTTGTTTGGGCTGCTTTCGCTTTATTCCCATCTTCATAAGACAATGATTTTGTAATATTTTCTGTGGAGAGACTAGAAAGTTAAATCAGGTTTGCCTCCTGCAGTCTGAGCATAATGGCTTTCTATGCTTACAGAGTTAAAGTTTTTCTCACCTTCGCATCTCACTATGGATTATGTCATGCACATTTTCAGGATTCTTGTCAAATCTGGGGAACCTGTCACAATTCTTTATATACCCGCAGTAAGCTTTCAGGGCACAGTCAGCTTTCCTGACAGTTATAATCCTAATTCATCTTTGAATTGACCATGCTTACGAACCACATTGCTTGGGGCCCGACCAGGACCTCAGAGGGGTGTGGAGGGTGAGCATCTCTGAAGCTGCAGTTTGCTTTAGCCTCAGGTAAAGCCACCTGTGTCTGGAGTGTTCTCCCGGGGGAGGGAGATGGTCTGACCCCTGGGCTGCTGAGCAGAGAACAGCAGACTCTGGGGGCAGGGAGGGAGCGGGGAGCCTGGTGGGGGGCTGAGGGCAGCCTCCCTGCTAGCAGGGGTGGAGGTGAGCAGGTTCTCAGACCGTTTGGGGGGTGCTGATCTGGGGAAGCAGAAGGAAGCCCTCGAACATGATTTGTACTATGTCTGTGGTTTGACTTCTCTCTTTCTCCCATGTTCCCTGGGGACTGAGGCCTGGGCATGCGGCCTCCCCGCCCACCGTGGCTCCTCACGCAGAACCAGAGCCTCACCCCTGCCCAGTGAGTACAATCGGAGGAACCAACAGGACTTCATAAAGACTCCGGCGATGAGGTGCTGAGCAGACGAAAGCAGGTTGGTCCCCTAATGGGCCCGAACAGGGGCTCAAGGGGGCAGCCAGGCCACAGCAGAGCCAGAGGGGAGACCCCACGGTGCCCAGAGAAGATGCTGCTGGCGCACTGGGCCCGCTCTCCGTGAGAATGCCCGGTGGTCAGGCAGTGCTTTCCCAGGTGCAGACTGAAGGCCGAGGCCGGAAGGATTTCAAAATAGCTCTGACGACAGTAGGGAAACTCCATCTCTCACTCCCAGCCAGGGAATTAAGGTATTTTCATCAGGTCAACTCTGTCTCGTTGTTTAAGGAGGAAGAGCTTTGTGAGGTTGATCGAGCGCAGGGTGGGTGTCTCTGCATTTGTGCTGAAGTTGGGGGTCCTCCCTGTCCATGAGTGGCCTCTTCTGAAGCCATTGTTCTTCCCACCTCGGACCCTTCCCACTCTGCAGGGACTCACCCTTCTGCAGGGTCCACAGAGGCGGGGCCGGGCACAGGGCACGGGGAGGAGGCCGGCACAGGACTGGGGGTGTGAGGGGCTCCGGGTAGGGGAAGAGTGCCCTGAGAGACATGGGCAATGTTTGTTTTAGTTTGATTGAGGATGGAAACTCGCTAAAAGCAATGAAAACCTGGAGGAAAAAAACTCCATTTTTCATGATCCAAGTCGAACCAGGGGTTTGAGCGGCTGGGGATCCGAGGGTAAGGCCGGTTCTGCGGTTTTAAATCAGGAGGGAAGGCTATGCCTCGTTGACAAGCTGACTGCTACGGATTGAGTTGTGTCTCCCCCACATTCATATTCATGGTGGAGTCCTAACCCCCTCAGTACCTCAGAAGGTGACCTTGTTTGGAGAGAGGCTCTTTACAGTGGGGATGACGTTAAAAGGAGGTCCTCAATCCACTCTGACTGGTGTCCTCACAGGAAGGGCAATCCTGAGACAGGCCCCCGCAGGGCGAGTGCCATGGGAGGATGAAGACAGACATGGGGGTGACGAATCTCCAAGCCAAAGGACACCAGAGGTTGCCGGGCACCCACCAGGAGAGGGGAGAGGCTGGGACAGATTGTCCTCGCTGCTGCACAAGGAGCCAACCCTGGCAGCACCTTGACCTCGGGCTTGCAGCCTCCGGAACCAGGAGATGGTAAATGTCTGCTGCTTAGCCTCCCCTGTTGTGCAGCCCCAGCAAAGGAATACGGTGACACTGGGTGGCAGACTTGAAGGAGGAGAGGAAGTGGGCCAAGCAGATGCTGGGGAAGAACATTCCAGGCAGAGGAACGGCCAGTGCAGAGGTGCAGAGAGCAAGGCGGAGGGCCGGCTGCAGAGGTGGTGGCGGGGGGTGGGGGTGTGCGGACCACGGAGGGCCTCAAGGGCCACTGAGTACCTTTGGGCTCCACACTGAGAGCAATGCGGAGCCACAGCAGGATGTGGACCTCCCATTTTTTTTTAAAGTAGGCTCCACACCCAGCGTAGAGCTCGAACCCACAACCCTGAGATCAAGACCTGAGCTGAGATCAAGAGTCGGACGCTTAACCGACTGAGCCACCCAGGTGCACCAAAAACCCCTGCACCCATTTTCACAGGTGCACAGTGCTTGCAAGGCTGAAAAGAGTGCGTGGGTGAGGGGGAAGTAAGGGGACCAGGTGCGGGAAGAGAATAAGGGTGGCTTAGAGCCGGGTGGCACAGGGCAGGTGGTGACAGGGATCAGGCTCTGGGCCTGTGCTGAGAGAGGGGCCACCCGGGTTGGTTGGGGGCAGGGATGTGGAGTAAGGGTGACTGCACAGCTCCCACTCCGATCCACTCTCAAGATGGAATTGTTCACTAGGCAGGAAAGATGAACTCTAACCTTCACAGTCCTTGAAGGCCTGGCAGTGACCTTCTGATCAGAGAGAGGACAGGTGAGTTCGTGGGACTCAGTTCTGCAAGTCAGCATGACGGGGTGACGAGCTGAGGCAGCATCAGGCTGGCAAGGCCATTGACATTCTCCACCCCTGGCCCCCTGGGGACAAGGCTTGGAGGAGGGAGGAGGGGGACACCTGAACTGGACACCTATTGGGCTTTTCAGGAGCATATCGACCTCCCAGCCCTGGAAACGGAGATGGGCCTTCAGGCCAAAAGAAATGATGCATTGACTCTGCAAGTGTTGGAGACGATGAAGCCAAATAGAATTTAAGGACTACTCCGCTCACTGCCCCTCCCCCCCATGAATGGCCGGCCACCCCACTCGAGATGAGGAATGAGCAGTAAGCAGTAACACAGGACCCCCGCACAGGAAGTACTTCCCCGCTAACAAGAAAAATGGGACATGAGCAAAGACTAGAAGGGCTTGCCTCCTAAGAGGGATTACCCCAGAACCGGAGTGGAATGACTAAACTCCCAAACAAAACTAAAACTAAAACTGAAAGAGTCAAGGTTCAAAGGAGATTATCAATGGAAGTTATAAAATGAGAGAAGAACAATGAGCTGGCCTCCCTTGTAGGAGAGAAATGAAACAATGAAAACATTACGGAGATGAATGTCCACATAAAAACCAACCAAAAGATAAATCATTGCTGGAAATTCCACCAGGGAAATGGAGAATCAGCCTCAGAAAAATCACTCAAGTCAAAATGGAAAAGAACCAAGTGATAGTAACAAATGCGGCGAGGACGAGGGATGTGGAAGACCGAGCAAGATGGGGGCCGTGCATCACGTTACTGAGGAACAGAACACACACACACAGAGTTTTCAAAGAATTCCATCATGTTCTACTGCATCAGCCTACATTTAATGGGCACCTGCTTTGTGGCTAGGAGTTCACAATCAAAGTCAACTTTGTGTCAGCTATCGGCAAGTAATACAGATGGTTTGACTTATATAGGAGAAATAGGAGAAA